CTAAAAAAGTTGGAAAAAAGAGCATATATTCTTCAGATTTATCTCAAAAATTTTCTAACCTTTCGTTGTAAACAACAGTTTTCAAAATTTTGATACAGCAAAATATTTTCGCATTGTTTTTTAACTTAAGTAATTAATTTATTCCTCTTTTTCTTTCTTTCATTTTTTATAATCTAGCTTGGCAACTATTCGATAAGCTGTTTAGATGAGGTGTTAAATAACGAGAACAAAGAACAGGAATAAATGAAGACTTGAAAACTCGTTTAGCACATATAAATTTCAATAGCGTATTGCCCTCGGATGTTTATAGTAGAAACTTTGATGATATGAAACTGTATTTGGTACGATGGGAAAAAGAAGAAAAAAAACAAAGAAAAAACCAAGGGAAAAAAGTGTAAAAAAAAAAACGAATTATTTTATCATAATGTATAACAGGGCATATATAAGTGTTGCAATAAAAAATGCTATTGGAAAAACAATACGTGCTGTCAAATCTATCCGGGCTGCAGTTAACGAATAGAAGTCAGCTTGACGATGGAAATATTCACTTATTACAATAGCGTAATCTGATCGTCTTGATGTTGTCATTGGATCCTGTAGCATAATCCCAAACTATTTTGAGTAACCACTTCCATAACAGTTGTTGCCATAAATGAAAAAAACTCCAAAAAATTTTTTTTAAAAGATTGAGATTTTAGTTTAACAGATGACTAACTGCATCACGAAGTCGACTTTCGACACCTTCAGTTTCTGATAGTGGTAACCTAAGTGTATTGTACTGCTCCTTCCTTGCAGCATTCCTTTCATGACGATACTGGCTTTCCATTCGTAACGTAGCATCTTTTGTGGACAATTTAAAACGTTTATTGAAAAAGTTCATCATCATATTAACGACAATTATCTGTAAAAAAAAAATTTTACAAGTGACAACAAAATAAAAAAACTTAGCATAGTTTGATAGATAATTTGACTAATTAAAAAAATTTGGTCAAGCTCTACAGTGATTGTAGTTCATAAATTGGGCTAAAGGTTTCTGGAATTTCGGTAATTTATTGTCGTTTTTTTGCCTTTTTTATTGTCCAGTCGTGTAGTGTTCTCTATTCTCTATATGTTACAATTTTTTGTTAAAAAAATAACAATGCTTCTCTAATTCCATCTACTGCAGGCGCCAATAAAGCAAGTTTACTTCTGATAGAAGTCTCCTATTAAAAGTTTATTCTGCGGATAACAGCCCAAAAAAAAAAAATTCATAAAAAATTAGGCAAAATTTGTCTTGAAAATTCTCTGTATTGTAGCATTATTCAGAACTTGTTCTTACGTCCTGTTTCCCAAAATTTGAGAAGAATTGTTGATAATTACATTAAAGCAGAAACAAATTTTAGCATCATAAAACTAATTGAGGTTCAGAATTTAAACTTATTTTACAGTAATTTGAAGAATTTAAAATTGTTGTGTAAAAAGCGGTCTGTGCTAAAAGAAGCTATACACATCGTCGCTTTACATTTCGATCCTGTAAAGTTGAAGATAGAATGTTTAGCCATGGATACTTTTATAGTATCCTATAATATTCACTGACCTTCTGTCAGTTTTTCTTCTTTCACTTGGTATGCAGCTGATATGTAAGTTAGATTTCAAAATCAGAAAAAACATAAGAGAATGAAAAAAAATTATATATAAAAAAAATTGACTTCAGCAAATGCGAGAAAAATAAAAGCTGAACAAAGTAAAATCCAGATGTCTGTCGCTGTTATGTAAACTGTCGACGGAACTGCAGATTTCATATTCATTGCCTAAAATTTTTCATTTTTTTAGAAAATTTATAGTAACATAGAGCAAAACGAAAGAAGAAAAGAAAAGTAGAATGTTAAAAAAATTAATTTTCAAGTATAGAAATAAAATTGGGAAGAAGTGGATAAAGAAGTAAACCAACTAACAGAAAGTGAAAATAAAATTGAAGCAGATCCAACGAGAATCAGACGGGTTTGAACATTGTTTCTGTCAATGTATGGAGCAAAGAATGTTGCTATCACAAAAATGGCAGTTGGCAGAATGTATCGGGTTGTAGACAACGTTACGGAACGTGAAAACTGCAAGGACACTTCCAGGCATCCAAAATTAGCTATAACTTCGATTAGTCATCAACACATCTTGAAACTTGTGAACTTCATTGGGTGTGTTAGATGCAGCATGAAAGTTTCCTCCTGTTGACAAATTACCAATTATTGGTCAAAGGGTAAAAGTTTGCTGTATACGGTGCTTTACAGTTATACTGTTAAGCGACAAAAATTTGTTGGTGTTTCAGAGAAAACTTGTTGAAATGCTGCAATATATTCATAAATGTTTATAAACTTACCATAACTTGACGTATATTTGGAAGCTGAAAATATTGCTTTATGTTGGCATTGTACTGTAGACAAAAGAGTTACACGAACATTCGGAGGTAGAACAGCTCGAGGAGCAATGATTGCTGCGGTAGTGTTGAACCAGGAAAGTGTTAACACCCAGTCAGCATAACGAGCTTAAAAAAAACATAATTCCTTAAAAATCAGTCTAAAAGTCTTCTTTTTACTCTGTCTCACTATTTTGCTAGAATTTTGCTTGAAATATTTGATACATTTGCAATAAAAACTCGTCG